ACTGAAGTTTCTTGAGCAGAGCAGCACTGCGTTCAAACTCATTTCTTACTTTTTTTTAACACCCCCCCCCAAAAAAACACCTAACCAACCCAAATCAGGATATTTATATAACAGCTAACTACTAAGGGACTCTCCACATTTGTCTCATGTAGACAGTCTGAATAAGTATAGCAGTATGTATTCACCATAGGCAAAGGACAGATAGTGCTTGGCATCAGCTACAAATACATTTACTGATGCAATGGGCCTATTTTAATCTCCATTTTATGGTGTACAGCTACCATGCTTGGTGTCCTCTGCACATCATTTATCCTCTTCCCTGAGGAAGCCTGCAAAGCAAGGCTGATTCCTGAGCAGCACAAAGCCATTCGCTCTTGTTCAATCCCAGGGAACAGCTCCTTGAACCCACCAGGCCTGTCTAAAGAGTGCACATGACTGGTTTCCCATCATCCCTTCCTTGCCGCCACCATTTTCTCTCCAAATACGCTGCCAAAGCTCCTGTGATCTCCAATATTTTATTATTATCCCCTTGTGGTAATAAAGGCTTTCTGTGACTTAAAAGACAACAACTCAGATTCTACCCAAGAGAATCCATATGGCCACCTGAACTTACTCAAAGATTGACTACCCTGAGAAGAAAGAGTTAGTTTGGGAAGGACAGCTAAAGTCTTACCCATTGAGGACTAAAAGTCAAAACTTGGGTTCCTCCATTTCTTAACAAAGGAGGGAAGAAACCTAGTGGAAAGCAAGTCAAAATCTGTAGACCTGGTTTCTGGTCTCAATTCTACTACTAATATATTGTGTGCCCTCTTTGGGGCTCCACTTGTTTACCAGTAAAATCAGGGGGTTGGACTTTGTGATTTCTAAGCATCTTTCCAACTCTAAATCCTCTATCCTTATGATCATCCCTCATTCTGAGTCTCATCACCTATGTATTATAAAAACCTTCTAACCAATCTGACTCCAATATTCTCCCAATTCAACCCACTGTTCACATAGCTGCCAAAATAACCTAACTACTGCCCAGGTCTGGCTGACCATGGTTACTTCCTTATTCAGTAACCTTCTATTATCTTGAATATAAATCATAAACTCCTTAATCTGCCATTCAAGGCTCTCCATAATATAGCTCAAATCAATATTTCCTTTCCCCTTCACACCCTATATTCCAGCCAAACTGAATAACTATCATAGAATCACGGAGTTGAAACAAACCTCAGAAGTCAGCTGGTCCATTCTGAACTTGACCAAAATTACTCTACAATGGTGGTATCATACTCAAATAAAAAGGGATCCATAGATTGACTAAGAAAACCACAAAGCAACATTATCTATGCCATATTGTATTTTTACTTACTTTGTTAAATATCTCCCAATTACACTGTAACCCTTGCTTGGGAGTTTTTCAGGCATGTTTGACACATCTGTTCTAAGACCCACTTGAAAACCTTCAAGTAAGGGGAAATCTATGACCTTTCTGGACAACCTATGTCATTTTTACATATCTTTGTTAAGAAGTTCTTCCTTCAGGGCAGCTAGGTGGCACACTGGTTACAGCACTGGCCCTGGAGTCAGGAGGACCTGAGTTCAAATCTGGACCAAATACATAACACTTACTAGCTGTGGGACTCTGGGCAAGTCACGTAACCCCAATTGCCTCACCAAAATGAAACAAAAAGGTCTGCATTCACTTAGCCTATATCTACTTTTCCATTTTTCTACTCACTACTCCTAATTCTGCCTTCTGGTACCTAGAAGAAATGAGATCCTTCTTCCTAAATGCCTCTGTTTATCTTTAAAGCCTTTCACAACCTGGTCCCAACCTATCTTTCTAGCCTTGGTGAACTTTGCACCATGCCCCCTATTCCTTGAATGCTTTTCCTCTTCATTGCTGCCTCATAGAATCTCTCTTCCTCTAAGAGAGCTTAAGCACCACCTTCTATATGAAGCCTTCCCTCACAAACTATATTGTATTATATGTTTCTAATTATTTTCTTTTATATACTAACACATTTATTGTTGTCTTCTCCTCATTAGAATGTAAACTACTTAGTTTGGCTTAGTTTATACTTTGCATTTGTAACTCCAGGGCCTAGATTATGACTTAGCACACAGTAAGTGCTTAATCAATGCTTAATCAGTTGATTCTTCAGGACAGTCCTTCCCCTATCCTCAACTCTTCTTTCCAGGCTAGGCATTTCCCAGCTCTTTCAACTGGTCTTCATATGGCATGGTTCCTTTTCCCTCATCATTCTAGAGCTTCAGTTTATCAGTGTCCCTCCTCAGATATAACTGAATGTAATACTTCAGCCTCGGTCTGAATAAGACAAGGTCTAATAGACTAGGCTAGTTCCCTCATTCTGGAAATTGTATTTCTCAAGCCTAAGATTTATCCTGTATTTAGCTGGCTTTGTATATGTTTGTCTGCATGTTGTCTACCCCATTAGACTAAATTCCTTGAGGACAGGAGTGTCTTTTGCCTCTCCCCAGCCCTTAGCATAGTGCCTGGCACATAGTAGGTGCTTAATGAATGTTTACTGACTGATTGGTTGAAATTAGCTTTTCTAGCAATCATATAACCATGTTAACTTATATTGAGCTTAAAGGCCCACATATATTTTTTTCATGCAAACTGTTCTTTCCATGCCTCTGACATCTTATATTTGTAAAGCTGATTTTAAAAATCCAAATGTGGGACTTTATATTTATTCCTGTTAAATTTTATCTTTAATATCTAAGCCACAGTTCTAGGTTGGCAAGTTTTGGTTTTTGTTGTTGTTGTTTTAAATCCTATCTCTGATCACTCTGCCCCCTGAAGGGGTCCCTTCCTCTGCTTTGTCAGTTTCTCTTGGAATCTCAGTTTTCATGGAATTGCCAAGGCCAGCCATATTCACACTGTCTTCATTCCTATCTTATTTCTGTATGTGCATCTTATCCTTCAAGGGCAGCTAGATGGTGTAGTGGACAGAATGTTGGGCCTGGAGTCAGGAAGACTGATCTTTCTGAGTTCAAATCTGGTCTCAGATACTTACTCTGTGACCCTGGGCAAGGCATTTAACCCCGTTTGCCTCAGTTCCTCAATAAAATGAGCTGGAGAAAGAAATGGCAAACCACTCCAGCATCTTTGCTAAGAAAACTCCAAATGGGTTTATGAGGAATAGTATTCGGCCCAGCATATCCCCCAACCTCCTTGAGAAAATGCAATGTATCATTTTTTTCCCTTTGTATTACTAGCACAATGTAGGCATTAACACATATTAGGCACTTAATGTATGGTAAATTTACATTTATTGAATTTTGATTGAAAGCTAATCTTTATGCTTTGTTCATTCACTCATACTCTTCTCAACCCACCCTCCAACAATATTTCTAAAGCACAAATTTCTGGACAGTATATCTTAAAGTCTTACATGGTAGATTTCTAGGATGGCTGTCTCTACCACACTGCCTCCCTCCACAGTTTTCCAGGATTCCCACCAGAGGTGTGTAACAAGTAGTAGTGCTCCTTCCCTCAAAAATTTTGCTGTCAATGCTCTCCCTTCCCTTGCTTTTTTTTTTTGAGGTGGGGGTGGGGCCAAGATGTGTGTACAAAAAAAAATTTTAAAGAGCCTTGCAAGTGGTCTAAAATCATAACATTTTGAGCTGGAAGGAACCTTAGGGATCATCAGGTTCATTTTACAAATTAGGAAACTGAGGTCCTGGAAAGAGAAGTAAGTGATATTAACCTAGGATTTGAACTCACTTCCTCTGACTACAAATCCAATAATTTTTACAGTATGTTAAATGTAACTGAGCAAGTCATCTCATTTCTCTTGGGTTCCTTTCCTAATCTTTAACATAATGGGGCTAAACCATGTGATCAATCAATTAGTAAATCTATAAGTAATTATTAAATACCTACTATATGCCTGACACAGTTAGGTGCTGGGGACACAAGTAATAAAGAATGAAACCTCTTTGCAATGTCTAAAGTCCCTTTCCACTCTATCCTATCACTCTAAAATAGTGGTTCTTCAAGTGTATTCAGGGGCTCCCTAGAAGTCCCTAAAATTCTTTCAGGGGATCTCAGGTCAAAATTATTTTCATAATAATACTGAGATGTTTTAATTTCTAAAACAGCAATTATTAATTGATATAACCCACATAAACAGAAGTTCTTTGGGGTCCTGTATAATTTTTCAGGGTATAAGAGACCAAAAAGTTTGAAAACTGCTTGTGTAATAACTATCTTTTTAAGAGAGTCTCTCTCTCTCTCTCTCTCTTCTCTCTCTCTCTCTCTCTCTCTCTTTCTCTCTCTCTCTCTGTCTCTCTCTCTCTCTCTCTTTCTCTCTCTCTCTCTCTCTTTCTCTCTTTCTCTCTCTCTCTCTCTTCTCACACACACACACACACACACACACACACACACACACACACCCTCCCACCCTAACTGTGCTTAGGGCTCCCTTACCACATGCTCCGCTCTTACCTTTCCAGTTTTCTGACACCTTACTCCCCTCTACACTCTGCTTTCCAGAAAGGCGGACCCCTTGCCTTTCCTTCCACAACACATTCCATCTCCTGACTCATGTATTTTCATTGGCTATCCCTTGTGCTTAAAATACTCAAACTCCTGCCTTCCTTGACTTCCTTCAAGTCCCAGCTAAAATCCCCCCTTCTATAGGAAGTCTTTCCTGATCCCCCTTAATGCTAATGCCTTTCCTCTCTCTTGATTATCTCCAATTTATCCTGTATATATTTTGCATGGTTCTTTGCATGTTGCCTCCCCTTCTCACCTCCCACCCCCATTATAACATGAGGGTCTTGAGAGTAGAGACTAGTTTTTGTCTTTCTTTGTATCCTCGGAGCTCAGCACAGTGCCTGGCACACAGTCAGTGCTTAAAAAGTGTTAGTTGACTGACTGATTTTCTTGCGGTAAAAAAAAAAGATCATTCTGATAAATAATCTACCCCTCCCCCAAACACCTCCCAACCTTCAACATTCAGAAATCTCACTATACATACCTCTCTGTAGCCATTTCCGTGGCGCAAGGAAAGTGCAACTAAACTACAGCTCCCACAATTCTTGTGCTCTAAAACTACATCTCCCAACAGACGTCCAGGAGTTCCTGATGGGGGGGGGGGGGGGGGGCCGCACAAGTAAGCATAATCTGTTAAATGCATTGTTCTCTGCGGTGTAAACCGGAACGTCCTGCATCTTACCCGCTGGTATTTTCTGTAGCCATTCTTGCAGTTTGTGGGGCCAGCTGCGATTTTGCTTTTTTCTGTTTATTTTAATTCTGAACTTAAACGCCCGAAAGGGAGCAAACATTACCATACATACTTAAAAAAACAAAAGAGGATTGTATATAATCTCTGCTATGTACAGGTCATTTCTTTCTAAAGGGTCCTCAGCCTGGCCTCTATTAAGGATACTTTTTCTCACACTCTTTAGCTGCTCCCCGTGGCCTTACCCTGGCACAGGATGGAGGCAGCAAGAGGTTTGTCTCCCCAAAGCACTCCAAAACTAGCTGAGCCACTTCACCGGTCAGCCAGAAGCAGATAGGAAAGCTGGGAACATAATCTGTGCAAAGCCTAATTACAATGATAAGCAAATGAATGAGTTCTTATGGATCCAGCTAATAAATGACAGATAGAATTAACATCTTGGTTTCACAAAGAGATACAAAAAATACTCATTTAAACTGTTACTTCTTATCAAACTCAGAAGACATAATGCTCCAAGAGAAAAGACTGCTACTTGTACATCTTTACATTCCCCCACCCAGCATCTTAAAAACAAAACAAAACCTTTCACTTCAAAATTTAGCTTTATTGTTGCTCTGGGCAGGAAGTTTACAGTGCCTAAAGAATAAAAGGTATATATAGCATAAAATACTGCATTAAACGTGAGTAACATAGATTAAGATGCCATGCCTTTTCTACCATTTGATTTGCTATAGAGGTTTCAGCAGAGAGGAAAGAACTTAATTTCTCTCAAACAAGCCATCAGTTTGTTTCACTTCATTTATCTTGGAATACACACACACACACATACACATTGCCATACCGTTTGCTTAGCTAAAATACTAGTATAAATATGCATCCGCTGAGAATGATATATATACACATGCGTACCAAATGTACACACATGTACACATTCACGTACACATGAATGGATAAATATGAGTATATGTGCACAGAGAGAGAGGCAGATGATAGCTTCACGTCTTCTGCATGTGGACTTTTTTCTCAATCATCAAGGAGACATTTTGTATGCTGCAGCATCAACATTTTCATGAATGGTAGCCTTGGTATCTTCTAGATTCAGAATTTGGCTTTTGTACTTTTGTTGCCAGTCATCCACAATGTACTGGTGATATGGGTCATTGGAGTGCTCCTGTCTCTTAGATTTCACTGTGCTCACCAGGATAGCTACAATAATGAAAGAGAACATACCAATCATCACCATGAGGTACAAGATGACGTAGTAGAAATTCTCGGCATTGACTTTGGTCTGGAGAGCTGCTTGTTCTGCTGTTGTGTTGCTGCGCCAGTTGTCCATATAAGTAATAAAGATCTTTTTGAAAGCATCTTCCAATGCTTGTGTTAAATTGGATAAAACAGACATGTTTCCCACCAACTTCTATTGGAAAGACAAAAGGAATTATTGAAGGCTAGAAAAAAAGGATCATTCCAATTTCTAAAAAAATCTCTTTCTACCCATTTTGAACATATCTTTTTCAAGCTGACTTTCAGATCTTAAATCATTCATGCAAATTAAAATGTACTTACATGTATGGGGATGCCAGGAATTCAAATACGGGCTCTTTTTTTAAAAAAAATATTTTTTTGGTTACATTTTGAGTTCTGAATTGTCTCCCTCCCTGCCTCTCAGTCCTGAATTACAGAAGGCCAACACTTTGTGTGTGTGTGTGTGTGTGTGTGTGTAAACATATAATAAATACCTCCATATATCAGTTCTTTCTCTGGAGGTAGATAGCATCTTCCTTCATAAGTCCTTTGTCATTGATCTGAATGTTCATATTTCTCATTCAAAGTTACTTTTTGAACAGGATTGCTGTTACTGTATACAATGTTCTCTTGGTTCAGCTCATTTCACTTGTATGTCATGCAAGTCTTTTCATGTTTTTCTAAAATCATTTCTTACCACATAGTAGTATTCTATCATAATCTATCATATGCAGCCATTCTCTGATGAATGGGCATCCCCTCAATTTCTAGTTCTTTGTCATTACAAAGAAAGCTGCTATAAATATTTTAGAATATATAAGTTCTTTTCCTTTTTCCCTGATCACCTTGGGAAACAGACCTAATAGTAATATTTCTGGGTCAAAGGGTATACACAGTTTTATAACCCTTTGGGTATAATTCCAGATTACTCTCCAAAATGGTTGGATCAGTTCACAGTTCCATCAACAGTGAATCAGCATCCCAATTTTTCCACATCCTCTCTAACATTTGTCATTTCCCCCTTTTATCATTTAAGCCAATTTGATAGGTATGAGATGGTATCTCAAAGTTGTCTTAATTTGCATTTCCCTAATCAATAGTGATTTAGTGCATTTTCTGTATGACTACAAATACCTTTGATTTCTTCTTCCAAAAACTACTTGCTCATATTCTTTGACCATTTATCAGATGGGAAACGACTCATATTTTTTTTCCCATCAGATACAGGTGTTTGTTAGTAATAAACATTTAACAGGAATGTCCATGCTTCCATTAAACATCACCCCAATCTCTATACTTCCGAACAAGTAGGTTATATGGCAAGAAGACGTTATAACAATCAACAACTCAGCAGAAAGAACAGACTTCCCCTGGTTGCCACCTGACAGTGTTATAGCAATCAAATTTCATCTCCAAGTCTATAATCAAGTAGGTCCTGGAGCAGCTTTCAGGAAGCATTAAAATCCACTCTCCAGGCTGAAGTATGCAAGGAAATGAGTGGGTTCTAGATTTCATATAGTTTAATGTAACATGAAATCATAAAGTTTTGCCATCAATTTAGACCATTAAATTATAGCCCAAGGAGGACTAAGAAATGCAACGTGACCAATCACGGAGAAATACCCAAGGTTTGACCAGCACAAGCTTAGCAAGGGAGTTAGATATTCTTCAGCTAAGCTCCATTGAGGATACACACAAAGGGCATCGTCAGGCTTCCACACAGAAAAACAAATATCTTGAGGCAGGGGTCATTATCTGAATAATTAGGCTATAAGCTCCTTGAAGGTAGGGATTTTTTTTTGCTTTGAATTTTTATTTCTAATATTTAGCAAGATGCTTTTGCATATAGTAGATGCTTAATAAGTACTTGGGTAAGATGTGGGTTGCCTCCTCTCCTCTTCTCTCCACATGAGATATCACAGCCATATCTACAGGTGCTCTGCCCCAAGAAACTTAAATTTTGATGGCTGAAATGTAGCAAGATATCTTGGGATTTATGGGCTAGGTTTTTTTTTTCTTTTTTGCTTTTTGGTGAGGCAATCAGGGTTAAGTGACTTGCCCAAGGTCACACAACTAGTAAGTGTCAAGTGTCTGAGGTTGGATTTGAATTCAGGTCCTCTTGACTCCAAGGCCAGAGCTCTCTCTACTCTGCTGCCAAGCTGCCCCCTAGATATTTTTCTTAAGGACCATGCCTTAAACCCAATTTACTTTGGTTACCATTGATTGGCCAATAACAGGTTCTAGCCCAAGCACCATTTAAAAAAAATTGTGAAAAGAATTTTCTATATATATATCACCTTGGCTTATACCTTTGACAAGGAAATCAAAACACATGACTCATTTTTATAAATTTGACTTAGTTCTCTATATATTTGAGCTATGACGTCTTTATCTGAGAAACTGTCTATAAAATTATTTCCCAATATTTTTCTTTCCATTTTGGCTACATTGGTTTTACTTATACAAAATATTTTTAATTTAATGTAATCAAAGTTATCCATTTTACATGCTACAATGCTCTCTTTCTCTTGTTTATTCACAAATTCTTCTCCTATCCATAAATCTGACAGGTGATATGTTCTACATTCTTCTAATTTACTTATGATATCTCCCTTTCCAGGTCATATTTCCTTTTTGACCTTATCTTGGTAAGTGATGTAAATTATTGGTCTGAACCTAGTTTCAGCCAGACTGCTTTCCAGTTTTCTCAACAATTTTTTACCAAATAATGAGTTCTTATCCCAAAAACTTAGATCTTTACACTTATCAAACACAGGGTTACTATAATCATTTACCACTGTGTATTGTATACCTATTCTGTTTCACTGATCCACCATTCTATTTCTTAGCCAGTACCAGATAGTTTTGATAATTACCATCTTATAATACAATTTAAGATCTGGTACTGATAGACTTCCTTCCTATACATTATTTTTCCCATTAATTCCTTTGATATTCTTGATCTTTTGTTCTTCCCAATGAATTCTGTTACTAGATCAATAAAATACTTTTTTTTTATAGTTTAATTGGGATGGCATTGAATAAGTAGATTAGGTAGAATGGTCATTTTTATTATATTGGCTCAGCCCACTCATAAACAATTCTCCATTGATTTAAATCCTACTTTACTTGAATAAAAAGTGTTCTATAATTATGTTCATATATTTCCTAGGTTTGCCTGGCAGTGTACTCCTAGGTCTTTTATATTGTCTATGGTCATTTTAAATGGGCTGTCTCTTACTATCTCTTCTTGCAGGGCTTTGTTGGTGATATGTAGAAATATGTAGAAATGCTAATGATTTATATGAGTTTATTTTATATTCTGCTACTTTGATAAAATTATTGTTTAAATTAATTTATTTTGGTTGAATCTCTAGGATTTTCCAAGTATACCATAAAACATCTGCAAAAAAGAGGTAGTTTTGCTTCCTCATTCTGATTCCCTTAATTTCTTTTTCTTCTTTTATTGCTATAGCTAGTATTTCTAGTATAATATTGAATAATATTGGTGATAATGGGCATAATTACCTCTTTTATAATTACCTTAATAGTTATAATTAACAAGCTCTCCTTTCTTTTGTCTGTCTGTTTATCATGAGGATTTAAGCTGTGTGTAAAGCCTGAAGAAGATC